TCAACACAGTGAATCTGTGAGAAAATGGTCCTTCCTGCATACATTCATACCCCATACAACACATCGTTTTTTAAGAATGAAATACTATTTATTTAACTGTATTTAACCTATGGATATGTACATATATATATATATAGATATATATGCATTGGTGATTAAAATTAGAAAGAACGAATTAGTAACCACACTTCTTTGTTCAACTGCTCAGTTCAGCGAGATCCGAAACGAACGTTTTATTAAAGAAGATCTAAACCATGATAAGCTGAGAAACCGTCTCTCAAACAGTGAGAGTTTCCAGAGAGGAATCTTTACTGAGACGCCTCTAAATGCTCTACTGAGATGGGAGTTTACTGTCACTATTCATCCTCGGTAAATGAGAGCAATGATCATTTCCCAATACCAGTAAGATCCATGTTCTTCAGTTGCAGAACTGCAACCCAATATTTTTCAAGAGTTGGAATAAACCAGTTGATTGCTTTGAGCTCCGTTCTTGTTCCAGATAGTTTCTAATGAATGATGGTCTAGCTTCTCGATTGTCGAATTCCTGTCAGTTGGCAGTTGGATGTGAGTTTGTATGTCCCCTGATTTGAATGAAAACGTTTGTTTGAGGGCAGTAGGGTTTCTGTATACAAGCAGCTATCACATTACCACACTGTAGATCAGTTAGTTGCTATATGGAGAGTAATAAGGAGAAAATTTTAATGCCCAAAAGAAGATCTCAGATTTAAGTATATAAATAGATAATTTAGTTTATAGTGCCTCCAGATGCATTTCAGTTCGCCTTTATTCATTTTAGTTAAGCCTCTCGATTAACTTATTTCATCAAGTAATTTTTATAGCAAGAACTTATATATACCATTGACTTTTACCACTGTCGGGTTTGTATGAGCTGGTACGGCTGAACATTGCTTACGCCTATGCGCATATTCATCCTATTAGCTTTAATATTATTCTCTTAAATATTTTACTATGTAGATATATGAACATTTAATTCCTATTTATTCGCGGATTCGTTAATTTGCTAATACGCTTGATTGCTTGCCTTCCGGCACTCGCATACCAATTTCAAGCCTGTGGTCCGCTGTTATATATGTGGTGTGCGGAAACAAACGTATTCAACCCTCCNCCTACACATCTGAAGTATA